CCCCGGGGACAGGTCTGAGGGTGGCTGCTGCCCAGGAACAGCCACGCCTGTCTCTCCCACTTACCTGCCTGGTGTTTGTCTTTTCTCACTGGTACAGGAACCCACCGCCTTGGCACAGCATGAAAGTGCCTCATCAGCTGGCAATGGGGAGTGATGGTGAAGCCAATCCCAGACTTCAAAGAAGTTTTTGCTTTTATACCTCTCTCTCAGCCAGAACACAGAGAGCTTTTTCACCAGCTGCTTTTAGGATTTGAGGCTAGAACAAGGGTCTGCCTCAGCTTCAAGTACATGCCACCGTGTCAAACCCATCTAGCCCCAAGGGTTGCCAGCCAGCAAGGGTTGGAGCTTCTTCCTGCAATGTACATCTCTCTAGGCAGGGAAGAGAAACCTATATACAGACAAATTAACTCAAGTGGTTCAGTAAACAGACTGTTTGTTTAAACAGGACTTTATTGAAGACACTTGAGAAGTTTATGTACAAAACAACATTCCCACCCCCATATCAGGATGTTAGTCACCCACTGGGAACAAAGCAAGTGCCTGGTGTGTGCTGTCAATCGGGGGACACGCAGAGGTTGCCGAGGAATTGATAGAAGTACCAAATTCGTGTAGTTTAGAGCTCGGCAGTTTCAGCCTTGGCTCAATTAGGACTGAAGGAAACCAAAGACCCTATTGCCAGAGACATGTCTCGAGCAGACTGAACATATTGGAATCTGGCAGCTTACACTGGCCTTACTTTGAGGTCAGGTCATTTACTTCTGCAAAGAGTTTGGTTTTGGAAGTGATGAGGAACCAGCCCCTGGATCTAACTTGCTTTATCTTCGATCTATTTTACATGGTTCCGTCACTAAGAGCACAGTAGTGTTTGCAGGAAGCATCAGAACAGAGCAGTAGCAATACCAAATAGAAAAGTCAGCCACCTCACTTCCCAAATACACCTAGAAAGAGGCTGGTATCGAACTGGCTACTTCAACTAGTGTATAAGAAAACCCTAGAGACACAGACAATAGTGGCACAGTTAAACAGTGGCTGATGGGCTGTTTCTGCAGTGGACTGTGCTCTTCTACCACGGTAGCGTTTCCCCTTGCCAGTCCAGGAAGGAACCGTTCTCCTTTTCACCGAGACGGTCCAGAACAGACAGGATACCAGGGATAGCCTCTTGCACCTGCATGGGAGCCTGCAGCAAATCAAGCTTAGATCATTACAGGGAATATCTTCCAGAAGAGAATCAAAGGCATTTAAGGAGTTACTAGAATCAAGGAGGGTGTATTTTCGTGTTTCACACGTGCCTCTGCAGCACACGGAAGAGTATGCTGTGCACAGGGTGCTAGCTCAAGGGCCAGGACAACAAGGGAGTCATGCTGTCACATTTCAGATGTCACTTACCATGTTTCCACCCATGTCTGTCTGAAGCCAGCCTGGATGCAAAGAAATACAGAGAATTCCATCCGATTTCAAGTCTGCAGCAAGACACCTGGTGATCATGTTCAGTGCAGTCTACAGGGGCAGAAACCATTGATCAGCGTGCTAGTCTTACACACCTTGAGCAGGTCCCTAAGCCAAGCTGATTGTTACCTCCCTTCCACCATCCTGCCAAAGGAAGGGGCAGTAACGGTACCACAGTAATTTATCTAGACTTGCTGGGGCTCCATTCTCAGAGATGCCTTGTAAGAGAAGCACTGTGAAAGCTCTATTGCCATAAGCTTACTGCCCAAAGATGAAACTAAGCTATGATGGAAGATAAAGTACCACGTGAAACTCCTGAGGAGCTGTGGAGAAAATCATACGGACATAGGACTCTGTTGTTCTGCAGTAATCACTACACAAACATTCCGGGTTTTACTTCTGAACAGGGAAAACAAGCATACTAACAGCTTATGAGGAGGTGGTGTAGGAGAAGCTGTGTGTCTGATCTTGACTGTTTGTACAAACTCACTCTGAGGATGTGACAAAACTCAAAACTCCACCTCTCCTCAACAAGCACACCTTTTGTTGAGTTCCGTGCCTGCTATCTTGCTTGGACTGGAGAGGAGCACAGCTGATAGGACACACACCTGATGGCATCAGCTCTTCCCTGATTGCCAGGTCCCTCTGAAATGGATCTGTATCAGAGTCCTGATGGAGCATTTGGAGCCTGTTCTTAAGAAGCTGGCATGTTTGCTCCAGATGTGTGGTTTTCACAGGTCACATTTCCACCCACATGAAGAACAAGGACAGTTCCTGCACACCTCACCTTATCGTCCTAAGCTCAGAGTCTTCCTTAACTCACCGGCCTGCCCTCGCCCCATGAACACAGCCCACAAACCTTTGCTATCCTGTAGGGGTAGACCTTGAGGAACATCTCATTTGCCTGGACGAGTTGCATGGAGGCAGCAAGAGAGGACATATTGATAATAGCAGCTCTGTGGCAGCCCATTCCTGTGCTCAGCTGGGCTGCCTTCCTCAGAAGGGGTAGAAATGCCTGTGGAAACAAGAGTTGGTTTGAACTTGGTCAGCTTGCTCTTGGCTGGACTAGCAGGTTCTCCTCTATGAAGAATGGTGATGGCTCCCCACACAAGCTGACCATAGGAGACCTGTCTGTAACAGCCAGCTGGAGGTAGCAGGGACCTTCAATCTCTTCTGCCCACCTCCTATCCCAACCAATCCACTGAAGTGACCTCAAACCAGGTGGATTTAAATTAAGAGATCCTTAATAAAAAGGGTCCCGTGCTCTCTAGGCACACAGTGTGATATCAGAACTGAGTCTGTCCAGTCCCAGGGTGACAAGTGTTTTGGTTACAAGGGGAAAAGTCTCTTATAATACCATAGATTAAGCACAATTCTTACCTTGGTGACCATCAGCTGGGCAACTGTATTGGTCTCATAAATGGTGAGCATTGTCTCTGCTGTGACTTCTTCCAAGGAAGCAAGCACATTGATGCCAGCGTTGTTAATGAGGCAGTTCAGACCTTTGTCGCCCACAATCTCCTCCACTTCCTTGACTACTTTCTTGATGCTGTTTTCACAGACCACATCTGCACAGAGGAGCCAAGAGCAGCCACAGTGTGTGGTTCAAATGCTGTTTGTCACGATCCAGCACATACTAGACCAAAGCTAAGGCATTAGGCAACACACCGAGATGACAGTGCACAGAGGGCCTCACACAGATCATGTTTCCCCAGTGTTACTGAAGATGAGGGTGATGCTTTTAGCTGCTGGAGGTCATGTACAGCTACTGGTCACCCAAGATACCAGTTCCTTAAGATGCACTCACCTGATTTAGTTGAATATAAGGCTGCATAAGCCATTTACTCACCCAGCTGGAGGAGCTTGATATTGCTGTATTGCTTGCTGAGCTGCTGAAGCTCCTAGAAAGAAGAAATCTTTTGGGTTATCCTTTGTATATCCATGATTATTACATAAACCAGCTTGAAATCTGCACCTCCAGAGGAGGATCAACTGCCCCAAGAGACTGGCCTCTCCATACTCAAGACACCAGCACACTGGATTACAGAGTTCTCCGTGTGGACAGCTCAAGGTGTGCTTGCAGGGTAACCAAAGGAGTTTGGTCAAGCAGCTACCAGTGCCAGTTCCACAGCAGCCCCAGAGCCCAGGCTGCATTCCAGGACAGTAATTCCTCACTTCTTTAAGAAAAGCGTAAGTCTCCTGAAGCTCTGCTCGTGCAAGACATCAGTTGAGGGCTACAGGAATGCTTAAGAAAAGCCATTTGGAGTTAGTGTTACTAAATTAGTGGAATTTAGCAAAGTTTCCTAGCAATTTTCCCATGGAAATTCTGTTTTCCTGCACTCTCATTACCTTCAATTCTTGTAACTGAAGGTAAAGCACACATGAAATCAGTTACATGCACAGCAACTGTCCACGAGAACAATTCTCTCCCTGCTAGGTAGCTGTAACTCACTCGTCTGCCTACCACCTCTTAGGAGAGGTGTTCTGGGAGGAAATCAGTGCTCTCCTGGTGTTGCTGCTGGACAAAGTGTGTCCAAATTGGATTCATAGGCCCAGCTGGAATACTGGAGTTTCTGTGCCATGTAGCCAAGTGGGAAGCGTGGCCAAACGTAACAGATGGATTACATACTCCCAGCTATGTTTAGGAGACTGAGCAACCTGGCCAAACATTCCGGCTCAAGCAGATCCATTTCTTTAGGAGCCCTTTGGGAACAGGGGTCAGGAGGGCTGGTTTTGAAAGAGTACTTCTTTGCCACTTGGAGACACTCAGGGACTCGGTGTCCTCTGTCAAGCTGTAATGCATTACATCTTTTATCTCAGTTCATACTCTCCAGGCTTGTTTAGAGGATTTGTTCTCCCACTGAGGACAATCTACAACTGCAGTTAAGGCTATTAAGGGGAGGGGAAAGGAAGGGGAACAAGTCAGAAGCACAGACCCAGAAGACATTCCTTCCCTTGGACAGGGCTTAATGGGAGAGTTTTCAACAGATGAAAGGCTCAGAACACACTGTCTTGTTTATTGATAGTCAGGCATGAAATAGTTCTGCCATGTCAAGGCCTGCAATAATTACGTGGCTTTGGACTGGACTTCAGTTTGACAGCATCACTTACTTGATAATAAACTCCAGAAGTGCTCTGGCTTCTCAAGGTTTGTTCGTTTATTTATAGTCACATTGCTTTACTCTCTGATGGAAACAAGCTACTAACTTCTGCTAAAAGGCCAGAGATGTTTTGTGTAGTGACAGCAACTGAGAGGCTTCTGAAGAGAGAAAGCAACATGTTCAATTGCCAACTCCAGACACTGTAGGATTAAGCATTCTCCAGAACATAACCAGCATGAAATTACAATTGCTGGATGCAAATCAGCTTTAAAATTCAATGATTTTTCCACTTAGTTAATTACTTAGCTAACAAGTGACTCCCACTTCAGTGGTTTGAGTTTCTCAGAAACAGCTTCCAGGCATAAAACGAACTTAGCTTTGGTCTTCGAGAACGTTATTCTGCCTTATATTATGGTATAAACAGAAGATGAAAATCCAGTTAGGAAACCTAAACTCTGCAGAAAGGCCTCTTCTTTTCCCTGCTGTGCCTAGAAGGAACATGCAGAGAGGAGCACTGAGACACGTCGCGCTGCGTTCAGGTCTGAATACAGCCGTTTCAAGCCGCAGCCACATGTGCTGCTTCTCCTCTTCCCCCACCCCAGGTAGTTCTGATCAAAGACATCAAAAGCCTCCTGTGTCCAGAGAGCTCTGAAAACATTACTGCAATGCAATGCAGCCCATAATGACAACACAGAGAGAATAGGGGAGCTCATTGGCACTGCTGTCTGAGGTGCAGCTTGTGTTTGATGCCGGGTTATGCAGTTTCATTTAAAGACATGATATATCCCAGGCTGAGTCAGTTCTAGTTGGAGTACTGTGATAACCAGTCTGAAATCAGGCAAGACAAAACCAACACCCCCCCGAACACAACCCCCTAATGCTCTGTTTAGTGTCTTAGCTCTACAAGTGCTCTGCACCTGAATAGTGACCCCTGAGAAGCCATTCTTAGGGATTCCAAGAAAAAAATAAGCTCTGATTAGCATCTCTCGCTTCCTGCCTGCTGATCCCAATTCCGATTAAGTAGGAGCCAGCCTCCTCCACTTTTAAACAAGGCTATCCCAGATACAGCTCCATCAGCACACTAGGAATGTTGCCTTTGTCATTTAGCAAGATTTACTTTGTCTTCTTCCTGAAAGCATTATTCACTTCGGTTACAACTCTTGGAAAGGACCTGGCCATACGAGGCCAGTTGGAAGCAATCAAGCCAAACTAACAGAGCCTGTAGGCAGCCTTGTCAGACAGAGAGCACTTGGGTATCCTTCACATCATCCTGCTTGGACAGAGTCAGGGATGTATCGTATTTGCTCATGTCTCTCTCAGACAGGCTGTTCAGTATCACGGTGTACAGCCAACTCACTGTGTAATAGCTTACACCGAGCTGCCACAGGCTGCCCCAAATCCACGCTCCTTTCTGACTCCAGAAGAGCCAGACCTTAATGCTGTAGGAAGTGCAAAACACTTCCAGAACAAAGCAATAAAGCAACGGTGCAATAACCCAGAATTGGAAGTGCTTCAGGAGTGCCCCCTTCGCCTGATACAGCACATTTATCTGGAGCGCTGCTCCGGAGATTGCTCTTCCCAAGGGCAGCCGCATGGCTTGAATATGTCGGGAAGGAAAAACACAAACGAAATCTGTGCAGGAGCACTTCGGCGGGAGCCCTGTGTCCGACACGGGGACAGGCGCGGCGCTGTTGGTAACACTATCTCCTGCTTCAGAGGAAGGGGAACAGCACATTAAGCCCTGGAAGATTTCCAGAGCCCAGCAGAGGCCTCTGGAGCAGCGAGGAACTGAACGCTCTCTTGTTCACCTGGGAACACTCTTGGACTTGCGGGGAGAGCAGGAGGAACAAGAGATGCTCCTGTCCTGAGGTCCCACGTTCCGCTCTCAGCACAGCCAAGCTGCGTACACAAAGCACTGTGAACAGACTTACACGGTGGCCACTTGGATCCCTTCCGCTACCTGGCTGCCCCAGAAAGCCATCCCCTCCTTTTACACCTCAGCAAGTCCGAGTGGGGACTACACCATCGCTAGGTGCAGTCTGAGACTTTAGGTCGGAGGGGGTTTTCCCACTTATGGGGAAGCAGGATGGGAGAAAAAGAGCAAGAGAGAAAAGCAGCACGGGGGGAGAATACAGATGGGTCCATGAGCCATCTGCCTGACAATAACCGTGCTGTGGTTTTGTCCATCTGGAGTGCACAGACAGGACATCAGGGTTATTTTGCAAGAGATTTGTAGCTGCTTCCTCTCTCTTGGAGCGGCCCAAGCGAAGGCAGATCAGAATCAAAGAGTGGCTGAAGGAGCCTGGTGTGGTACTTCGCAAGGAGGGGCAGCGGTTATCTAGATGCGCCTGCAGGCCTGCTGCACGTTATCGTGTGATCTAAAAGCCATTTGTTAGGCAAATGTTCTGTGGAGGCCACCTAGGAGCTATTCAGCACAAGAAGCCGAGTTTTCACAACTCCTGCCAGCACACTCACATGCAAGAGCCTGCAGCTGCTCAGCGTTAGCCAGGGTTAGCAAGTTACAGGAGCGCTGCTTTGCGTAGTAAGCAGAGGAAAGCAGAGCCCAGCATCTCTTCCTAAAGTCAGGTCCTCGGGGGCTCTTGTCTGTCCACTGTCCAGAGCACTCTGAAGTATGCGGTTATCTCTGTAGCAGCTACACCCTGAGATTCTTTGGATAACTCTCAGCTACCAGGGAATTACTGTTATCAATCCCTCAATGGGTGCTGGGGTTGCCAGTAGCTAAGTATATCTAATCACTTTCCCTCTAAAAACTGGAATTCTGCTATTAAAAAGGCTTTTCGTTTGAGTTCTGCCCATCCTTTTCCCCCTCCCTGCATTCTGCAAGAGGAAAATGCTATTGTACCAAACCAGGCGCGAGCAGAACTTCAGAGAACTGCCCAAAGCTGTTGTGCTCCAAGTTCATCCCCAAATCCAGGAGAAACAAGGGACAGGGCATTCACATTAAGTAGAATTTTATATACAGTCACTTTCCACAAAGCAAAATGAGAGGAAACAAAACTAAACTGCTTGAATCATTGTCAAGAGACAAAAGCAGCACTGGCAGCTCAGGTGTGCAGGGAAAGAACAAGTCCCTCAACTTCCCAGCCCAGTCTGCATGGTCCACAACAGGTCTTAAATGGGCAAAGCCCGTTTCCTGTGCACTGAGACGTGTCTGCAGTGCCTTGGAGGGAAAGAACCTGGTTTCAAGGTTTGATTGGGAAGTCAGTGAAGGGAAAGAAAAGAAAGAAGATGGCTGAGCCTTTGCCTTTCCTTTACCATCCCACACTCAACAGTGCCAGGTTGGATCCAAGCTCTGAGACAGTGGTTGCCTATGGTGCTAAGACTCCCATGGCTAGAGGCTCAAGCACGCCTGTGCTTGCCCTCTGCCAGCTAGAAGGACTAGCAGCATGGTGGAAAGAGCTCAGAAGGTGGAATTGATGTGCCAAGGTTGCGCGTTGCAGATGGGACAGATAACAGCAGCGAGACAACCGCAGCACCTCAGTAAAGATCTCCCCTCCTTGCGGAGCTTCCAAACCCATCTGTTGGAAATATGCTTTCAGCTGGCTGCAGAGGTTTCTATTGATGTGCTGCCAAAGCGCAGCACATGGCCTAGAGGTCCTTACAAAGAACAAAAACCCACCCTGATCCGCCAAGGACAAGTCTCACCCACCCCCAAAAACACCCCCTTCGGGATGCACCCCATGTGGCCTGCACAATGGCCACTGGGGTTACTGGAATGCGGCTCTTGGCCAGCTTCCTGCCTGCAGCAGCCACGGCTGCCAGAGTCTTTCCAGGTTTCT